CCCTCGTGACCGCTGCTGCGATGCCTCCTGTCGTGCGACTTGTGTACGAACATTTTTATACGCGACGAGAGAAATTATTCGAGTGTATTATATGACCTGGACGTCAGTGGACCAGATGTGGTTGTCAGAGTGTCTGGTTATTGTTATTTCGGCGCTTATGAAATGCGAATCTTAGACCGAGACGACGTGACATGACGTGACGATGGACGGTGACGGGTTGATCGAATGATTGATGCCTTGACGCGCATATTACGGTTAAAGTCGTATATTATTTATTCAAAATGCGATATCGCGCAGAATGTTAATTATAATAATGCATTCATTTTAATTAGCGTTGAATAGATGAAGTGATACAGCGTCGGAAGTGATGATTACAGTCGCGTGATGTTCTGCATGGCCTGACATGTGTATCATACATCATGCTATCACTCTCCATTGTGAACATGAAGGCTGGTAATCAAACGATACGAGATTATGTCCAGCTTGTGTCCAGTGTGATGCAACGGCTGTAATAATAAAAGATAATGCGGCGCAGTTCCAGTGCATACCTGCAACGGCTCGGATAATATAATAAATCAGATTGAAGTTATATTTCCATGTAATGTAACGACAGACATTTAGCGTCTCTAAGAATGATATCATATGAACATAGAATTGATAAAAAACAATAAATTAATGAAAGCAAATATAATAAGTAGAATTATTATATAATAATAATAATAATACGTCTCGCTGTCGTCATCACTGTTTTTATTCGGCCGACTTTAATCACTCATTACCGTTTTGATTTTTAAAAGACTTTCAAATAATGATTTCAAATAGGAATTGCTTTAAGATGAGCGGCGTGCTATTTATTGATGTTGAGATTTAATTTCTCCGCGCTAATAGTCCACCGAGCGTATTCATAATCACTGTAAATAATTAATCCCGATTCTGTTTATGATCCAACCATGTTTATTAGAATTCTTAGAAGCATCGAGCATGTGCAGCGCGCAGCAGCAGCCGACACGATTTTTTTCATTTATTTTTTTTAATCTTCGAACCACGTCGATCTCATCAATCGAATGCTGAGCTTCGTGTCGCCGGCGAGATGAAATATGAAAAAATGACATACGGAAACGGAACTCCGGAAATCATACGCCGTCCCGCCATCCCCGTGGACGCTGCACATCACGTGAGATGAAATATGAAATATGCCGATCCTGGAACGCTTGCAGAGGCGAGCAGACCTAGCATATAACGCAAAGCTGTTAGGCTGGAAGGACTGATAGCGGAGCAGACTAAGGGCTACTAGCTGGGTAGAAACGAACTGCACCTGTTGGCTTCTAGCCAGTTCGCAGGAGCATGTTACACGCGCTTGTGTAATGTGTTGTTTCTCGAACGCGTAATCGCGTGTCAAATGCTCGCCCATGCAGCGGCACGAGTGATTTCAACACGCCTATCGACAAAGGCGTTGAGTCGATCGTTGCTTTATACATTACCATTTTCGCTCCCTATAGCAATTACTATCCTCCCATCATGCACGCGCGCGCCGCACACACATAGCAACACACACACACACACACACACCACACCACACACACACCACGCACACACGAGACACACCACACACCCACACCCCACCCCACCACACACACCCACACACACACACACACACACACACACACACACACACACACACAGCACGCACGCACGCACGCACGCACGCGCACGCGGACAGCGCATCGCTTCACGCACGCCCGCCCGACGCACGCACGCACACGCACCAGCATCCGCCAGCGTCAACGCAATCGGCTAAATGCGGCACACACATGCGGAGAGAGAGAGAGAGAGAGAGAGAGAGAGAGAGAGAGAGAGAGAGAGAGAGAGAGAGAAAGACAGGTAATATATATATAGTGACAATAAGTTAGGTGACCATGTGCTAGGTAACTCTGACCTTGGGACGCAGGTGACTACATGTTATATTAATGGCTTACGCAATCTGCACAGGCAAAAAATTTGAGAGAGATATTATTATATCTTTGTCAATATCTGTGTCTTTCTACAGTTTAACGATTATAAATCCGAGCTGTAACAGTGACGATTACATTGGTGATAATTAATTAGATAACGATTAAAATTAACTGACTCGCGTGCAGCGGTTCCTATATGTCGTTAGCAGGTGATTAAAATGATTGATTTTAACGGCCGCTTTCCTTGCCTTCTCTTTAACTCACATTTGTCCCCCATCTATCTCCCCTCTATTCCTCTCTCACTCTCCCCCTCTCTCTCTCTCCTCCTTTCTCTTCAGTGCCTTTCTCCCCCTGCTCCCCCCACACACACTCTCTCTCTCTCTCTCTCTCTCTTTCTCTCGCTCGGCTTTTCTCTCCCGGCCTCTCTCTCTCTTTCTTTCACCCGCTCTGCTTCTCTCCACTCCTTCCCCTCTCTCAGCCTGTTTCCACTCGGTTCCTGTCTCTCTCCCTCTCTCTTTTTCTCTCTTAGCTTGCATCTAGCATGTACTAGGCAAACACAGCCAGTCGATATTCTCTACGGGATAATTGTTTATGATTTATAAATCCGAATTTCATTTCTTATTTAAGCAATAATTATAATCACTTTAATGAACACCTTAATTATAAATTCTCGCTGAATAAAAAGAAGCGTGGGCCTCATACGTCAAGGACATTTATTAGGCAAGCCGGTTAATCATCTCCTACAAGTAAACTCGGAGTTAGTTGGCATCGCAGGCAAATGCGAAAAGTCTGTTTAAGGATGAGCTTGCAGCCAATTTGACTTAGCTCTCATGCATGTGGTAGTTGCAATAGCGATACAAAGTTAAAAATGCTTATGCAAAGTGTAGAATATAGTAAACTAATACATTTGTAGCTCCAGCTCGTTGTGAGGGAGGTGACGAGATGATATAAGGTTCAAATGTGGCGATAGCAAATTGAGTATAGACGAGAGAACGCAGGATTAGGAAAGAAACGCATATTAGCAGATAATCCTGGTAACTAACAATAAACAGTGTGTTTATTTTTTTGGCATTTGACAATACACTGTGTATTGTTAGCGAGCTTTCAACAATACAGGGAGCGAAATGGTAATGTATAAGCAACGATCGACTCACGCCTTTGTCGAATAGCGGGTTGAAATCACTGTGTTCGTGCATGGCGAGCCATTGACACGCGATACGCGTTCGCAGAAACAACAGCATTACACGGCGCGTGTACATGCTCGCGAACATGCTAGAAGCCAACAGTGCAGCGTTTCTACCCAGCTAGTAAGTAGTCTCTCCCTATCAGTCCTTCAGCCTAACGTAGCTTTGCGTTATATGCTGCTGCTCGCTCTCAAGCGTTCCAGGATCGCATATTTCATATTCATCTCACGTGATGTGCAGACGTCCACGGGGATGGCGGGACGGCGTATATTTCCGAGTTTCCGTTTCCAGTATTCAGTTTTTTTCATATTTCAATCTCGCCGGCGACCACGAAGCTCAGCATTCGATTGATGACGTCGACGTGGTTTCGAAGATTAAAAAAAATAAATGAAAAAAATCGTGTCGGCTGCTGCTGCTGCTGCAATGCCGAGTGCTTCTAGAATTCTAATAAACATGGTTGGATCATAAAACAAATGGGATTAATTATTTACAGTGATTATGAATACGTCGGTGGACTATACGGGAGAAATAAATCTCACATCAATAAATGCACGCGCTCATCCTAAAGCCAATTCCTAATTGAAATCATTTTGAAAGTCATTTAAAAATCAAACGGTATGATGATTAAAAGTCGGCAATAAAAAACAGTGATCGACACTGCGATTATTATTATTATTATTTATAATAATTCCTATTATTATTATTTACTTCATTAATTTATTGTTTTATCATTTCTATGTTCATTGATATCATTTCTTAGAGACGCTAAATGTCTAGTCGTTACATTACATTGAAATATAACTTCATCTTGTATTATTATATTACCAGCCGTTGCAGTATGCACTGGAATGCCGCATTATCTTGTATTATTACAACCGTTGCATCACACTGGACACAAGTGACATAATCTCGTATCGTTAGATTACCAGCCTTCATGTTACAATGGAGAGTGATAGCATGATGTATGTACACATGTCAGCGCATGAGACATTCACGACTGTAACATCACTTCCCGACGCTTATCACTTCATCTATTCAACGCTAATTAAAAATGAATGCATTATATAATTTAATTACATCGCCGTATCGCATTTTGAATAAAAATATACGACTTTACCGTAATATGGGCGTCAGCATCATCATTATCACCGTCACCGTCATCGTCATCGTCACCGTCATCGTCATCGTCGTCGTCGTCGTCGTCAAGATTCGCATTTCATCGCCGAAATAACAAAACCACGTGACATCACATCCATCATAAATAACTCGAATAATTTCTCCGTATATATGTTGTACACAGGCGCAGACGAGCATCGCAGCAGCGGCAGCGGGGCCCCCGCTCCCCCGCCCGCGGCGGCATACCGCTTTGATCTCCCCTCATATATCCATTCCGCGGCAGCGTCCAATGATGAGCAGCCGCTGGTGTGTTGGCGGCGCGAGCGGCTCGGTGGCATGGCGGAGAGAGAGATGAGGAGGCTGCGGCCGTGTAAGAGCTTCATGAACAAGCGCATAATCCATCGCATGTTGTGAGGGCCCAGGGCAAAGTGAAGACGCCGACACGCAAATATAGCCGTGACCAAACACGGGCGAGCGCGCACCGCCGCTACTGCCGCCACGGCGTCCCTTTGCATGGTGGTAGCGAGCGATGGGGAAGAGAGAAGGCGAGGGTGGAGAGAGGGAAAGGGGCAGATAGGGAGCGAGCGAAATTTGGCGAAGGAGGAGAGAGGCAGAAGTAATGAGACAGAGATAAAGAGAGAGAGAGAGAGAGAGAGAGAGAGAGAGAGAGAGAGAGAGAGAGAGAGAGATTATATATTATATATAGTCTGTAGAAATAAGATGTTAGTGTATGTCTTACTTCACTCACCTAAAATAATATTCGTGTATCGAAGATTCTAGGTGAATCACAACGCTACTATGATGATTCTGAAAGAAAAATGATAATGAATGATTACAACTTATTATACAATATTGAAATTATTATAATTATTACTTATACACTGCTGTTTAAATTAAAATGTAAATACGCAGGTGGTAATCTATTTCAAAAAGTTTGAAGTAAAGTAAAATTAGAAATGTAATAGTAATAATAATAGAAATAAAAACAGAAACAGAAATAGAAATAGAAATAGAAATAGAAACAGAAATAGAAGAGAAATAGAAATAGAAATAAAATGACAATTATCAGCACTAATAGAATAGAATGGGTATATACATTTAATTACACATAGTACACCACGAGTTTGAAATCACCCCGGAATGTCTATAACGTTCTGACAGTAGCAGAACAGATGGAAAGCCACGTAAGCTCGACAAACACCGCGCCAGCACGAACAGGAACGCTCTCTCTTACAGAGATTACGATCATAAACAAGTTCTGTTAAAAATGAGTCAAACTTGAAGAAGCATCAGATGACATTATGTAAGCTGGTGGTGGGCTTACATGGCCGCTGGGGGGCGCTCACGCATGGATGCGGACGGGCGCGCAAGGTGGGCATGCAAATCTACCCCCAGCTGGCATGGCTAGGGACAGGTGTGGGGCGGGCGTCTTTCATAATATTGAATCAATCATAAACAGCTTTCTCATTTAAATCGGATAAGATTGATGATGCTGCTAGTGCTGCTGCGGTGGCGGATTAGGTTTTCAGGTTTCGATGGCTGCTACGTGTGTGTTTGTGGAGATGCCTGGATCACTAACACAGTCGAAGATGGTGGCTACGGCGGCGGCGATACGTGAGGAGGTGGGCCGTACGCGCGAAGTTCATGTTGTTCTCATCGACATGAACTAGTGATATTTTCAACAATTACGCTTATTTAGTTTTCAGTAATGAATGTAATTATAGGGTGGTCTGTCTACATCACACCGCCTTCTCTATCTGCCCCTCCCCTGTCTCCCGCTATCTGTCGCTTCTTCTCTCTTTAATTTCCTTATTATATCTATCTATCTATTTATCTAGC